ACCACTACAGGGTTCCGTTCAAAAATCCAATACCTGAAACGTTGTGAAAATGGCAATAAAGATGAGAACAACAATCCGAACAATGTAAATAATGTAAATAATTACAATACCTCATCACAGAAATATAGACATTTCCTCAAGAAGGCCGGAGCGTACAAAGGCCGAAACGTCGTGAATCTGACAATAAAGATGAGAACAACAGTCCGAACAATGTGAATATTTACAATACCTCATCTCAGAAATATAGACAGATCTTGAAGAAGGCCGGAGCGTACAAAGACCGAAACGTCGTGAATATGAAAATAAAGCTGAGGACAACAGTACGAACAATATAATTAATATAAACAGTTACAATGTCTCATCTGAGAAATATAGACATTTCCTGATGAAAGCCAGAGCGTATAACGACCGAAACGTCGTGAATAAGGCAATAAAGATGAGGACAACAGTCCGAAAAATGTAAATATTTACAATACCTCATCTCAGAAATATAGTCAGATCCTGAAGAAGGCCGCAGCGTACAACGGCCGAAACGTCGTGAATATTGCAATTAAGATGAGGACAACAGTCCGAATAATGTAAATGGTACCTCAACTCAGATATCGAGACAAGCTTTCTAAGTATTATACCACGTCAAAGTGCGATGTGATGCACTTAGCATAGCTTAGATGTGACAAAACGCCGGAAAATATGGTAATTGATCTAGCGTGACAACCATTACACCATGGCGAAATGTTCTCATGTTTAGTTATTCAGATAATGATTTTGCGACGTTTGTTGATCCGAGAAAATTTTCGCCTACTTCTTACTACGAAATATTCGCGTTGCTCAATCGGTAGATGCTTGGTTCATGTTAGACGGGCTCCAAGAATATGGATTGGGAGATTAGATTTCGCAGGATGAAGCGGTTTTGCTTAACGCTTCATACTGTCAATTTAAACGGTAGCAGACGAGAACGCTTAGATTAAATAGAAAACGTGAAGGCGAATTTAAAAATATGGAACGGGTGTGAATGGCGATAACAAAAAAAAAAGATAGTTTTTGAAAAAAAAAAAACAACAACTACAATTTATTTTCCTTTGTAATGTTGTTTATTTCAAAATTGTTGAGCCTTTGATGCGGGTCTTTGCCTTGCCCCTTTTCCCCTCAAATAAATAACATTTTCGCTTGCAGTCAAAACAGGCGAAATTCTCCGAAGAAAGAAAGAAAAGAAGTCGATTCTTTAATGGAAATAGTACGTCAAAGCGGGTCGGAAATTCACCATACAAACAAGCTGATTGTAATTGCAACGGCTTTACCAGAGGAGCCACTTCAGTGCACCCACCCTTGTCCTTTTCCGCTGGGGACAGGTGCAAGAAGAGATGGAATTAGCATAGCAATTCATTATGAGAAAATGAATAGCAAACACTCTTGCAAAAAACAAAAGATAAATAAAATGTATATATATATATATATATATATATATATATATATATATTAAATTTGTTATTTTGCATTAATTTTGGAGCGAAGGGGGAGATGATATATATATATATATATATATATATATATTCTGTTTTTTCTCTCTCTCTCTTTTTATATATATATATATATATATATATATATATATATATATATATACATATATATATATATATTCTCTTTTTTCCCTATCTCTCTACCAGTTTTATATATATATATATATATATATATATATATATATATATATAGATAGATAGATATAGAGATATTGTCGATGGGTGTTGAATTGATTAACGAATCTATTTCTTTTTTGCCAATGTCTTTGGTTCCCATAGTCCCAAACACACACACACACACACACACACACACACACACACACATTGAAACACACATGCAACACACACGCCAAAACATTTTTTTAGTAAAATGTCTCCAAGCACGCACGTCACACGCACGCACACATATACACACACACACACGCACGCAATATTTTTTCACACACACATGTGCACACACACATGTTAAACACACACTACAACATGCACGCACGCACGCAGAGTCACACGCACTCACGCACACACACACACACATATATTTTCCCCAGATCTATGAGTTTAATTAATTTAATATTTAATTTAAGATGTTAATCTTAATAAACATTAATATTTTTTAATTTTAACACTTAATCTTTTTTGCAAGTCAATAAACACTGAATTTATTGTCATTTAAAGACTGCATTTTTGGAGATACCCTATCTATCTATCTATCCATGTGCGTGTGTGTGGAGAGAGAGAGAGCAGAGAGAGAGAGAGAGAGAGAGAGAGAGAGAAGAGAGAAACTTTGAAAATTTTTATAGAAATAATACACACGCACACACAACTATATATATATATATATATATATTTATATATATGTATGTAAATATCAAACATCTGAAGAAGGTCGGAGCCTACAAGGGCAGAAACGTAGTGAATATGTCAATAAAGATGAGGAAAACAGTCCTAGCACTGAAAATAGTGAAATAATTACAACACGTCCTCTCAGAAATATAGACATATCCTGAAGAAGGCCGAAGCGTACAACAGTCGAAACATCGTGCATATGGCAATAAAGATGAAGACAACAGTCCGAACAATGAAAATAGTGTAAATCGTTACAATACCTCATCTCAGAAATATAGACAGATATTGAAAATAAAATGGAAAATTGTTTTGTATATTTGAATTTCGTATTTTGATTTTTCAAAATAAATCTTTTTATTAAACCGACAAAAGCAAGAAGTTGAATTAAAAAAATATATATATATTACTGGAAAATTACGAATATAATAATATATAAATATCTTTTTTAATTATTTCACTTCAGGCAAGGCAATAAAACCTCTAAGACGCAAGGGGTTAATAGGAATAAAAGAAACTGAGAAAACGTTATTGAGTAAAAAGGACCCCAAAAATGAAGAGGATTAAAATAGGTAGAAAATCACAACTACAATTACATTTAAATTTTAGAATTTCGTACCTGATCATAAAAATAGAAGCCGGAAAAAGTTTTCCTCAAGCAAGAAGTGCGAGAGAAGAAACTAGAGGAATAAAACTTGCGGTTACATCAAGCTATTTTAACAGTAAAACGAAGTAGCAATATTTTAAAGATCGTAGCTGACAGGGAAGCAAGAAATTGGAAGAGAGTTCCACAGGTGAGAAGTGCGAAAGAAGAACTGTTAGAATAGTACTTACGGTTACATTTAGTAATTTCAAAAGTAAAAATGATCCGTCCTCTGTTAAAAATCTTCCCAGATATTGAAATTTTTGTACTTGTTTGATTTTGACATCTCCGATTTGTAATTTTCATTTTGGGATCACCCTTTTGCTATCAACCATGCATTTTATCTTTTTGCAGCTGATGTTTAAAGTTTTTCTTCTCGCTTTCCTTCACTAACTCCTGTCGGAAATTATGTAGTTTTCTTTCCGTGTCTACTATCAACACCGTGTCATCTGCATTTCTTATACTGTTAAGATGGTAGCCGCCAATAATAAATCCTGGTAGGATTTCTAATTCTCTCAGAATTGCCTCACTGAATAGGGTGAATATGTCCGGTGAGAAGACACATCCTTGTCTTTACAGTCCTTTCTATTTTTGTATATCTGTTAAACTTAAAAGCTATCCGTATGGAGGCGGTTTGTTGCCAGTATATATTCTATATATATATATATATATATATATATATATATATATTAATTTCAAGATCAAAGTACTTTAAAGAAAGGCATGACACAGTGTAAGTGACGAAATGTTTATTCATAGATAAAATTTCGTTATCACAATACAAAAAATCCCAACATCAATGTAAAAAAAAATACAAAGAACAAAAACGCTTTCATTTTGTTGTTTTGTCAGACGACAAACATATGTAGTCTTGTCCTGATAAATGATTAATTGATTTTAAACGATAATATTTAATTTCCCATCTCGCCAGATTTGATGATCTTAATGAAAAAGAATTTTTGACAGAAGTGGTATCTACAAATTACGCAGCACTTATTTCGATTAACCGCGTTACTTAGAACGATTACTTGGCTACTTAAATAAATGTAAAAACAAATGTCTTAGTTGGCAATAATATAAGTGACAGATATTGAATAAGTCCGACGAGAAGACACATCCTTGTCTTACAAACCTTTTTATTTTTGTATGTCTGCGGAGAGCTGAGTTCCAATTCCAGTCGAATCCATTACATTCTACGTATTAATACCCTTGAGAAAGGTACTTCTTCTCCCCACCAGCTATGGGTAAATAGCAAGACAGACCGGGTCCTATAGCTTTGGATGGCAACTGGTCTACCGCAGAAAGAAATGGCAACCTACTGCGGGAAGAATATCTGCCTCGTCAGTCATGTAACGAAAAATACATCATCGCATACGAGTTTATCACGCATGACACATAACTGGCTGATATATGCAGAACTCACGTTCTATCCGTATGCATGCACTCTTATACGATTTCGCCATAGACAAGATTACAGAAATCTTAATTTGACTTTAGTAAGACAGGTTTAAATAGTTGCTTCTTCAGCATAGATACCAAGCGTAGGGGCCTGAGAGACACTCTCATTTATATAGAAAGATCTAGAAGAGTGGCCGTTTAAGACAACCCACATTTCACGATTTGAAGAGAGACATAATAAGCCGATAATTATAAAAGTTTAAATAGGTGGTTTCAAAACACCTATTTGAAGTTAATTCTTTGACAATGCCTAAAACCCCAAACAAACACAAATTATACCCCATTCAACGTCTCAAGCCTCCAGCTAAGTGTGGCTGCAAGAGGGCATGTTTATTTGCTATTGGTCTTATCAGGCATCAGCAGGTTTGTACGAGATTTGGAATGCTTTCTTAGTCTCGCGTGCGTTTGAGATCATCATTCACACACGAACATGAAAATGTGTTTCTGATATGTGCTGTCAGCTCGGGCAGATGATAGTTTTTGTTGGAGAAGTATTTACAAAAATATTCACGGAATAGAAGCACGTTTTTATGATTCAGTAATAGCATTTTTACATTGTTACCTCCCTTAGTCCCATCCCTAACCACCCTCTGCATATTCCCTCTCTCACATAACCTCTCTCACATTGTCTTCTTCTTTCTCTCCGACAAGCACTCTCTCCCCCTACCAGCGATTCGCTTTTATTCTCGCCTCTGTCAGAAACCAAAGTGTTTCTTTTCCATGACATACCAATGATTTTTTTCTTTTCTTTCGTTTCTAAAACCAATTATATATATATATATATATATATATATATATATATATATATATATATATATATATATATATATATATAAAACCATATATATATATATATATATAAAACATAAATATATATATATGTATATATATATATATATATATATATATATATATATATATATATATATATATATATATATATATATATATATATATATATCATATAAATATAAATAACTATATATATATATATATATATATATATATAAATATATATATATATATATATATATATATATATATATTATATACATTAACTGTCTATCTAAGCTATTTGACCTTTTCCAACTTCCGACCAGCTGACTAAATACGTTCAGGTCGGACGAGAACTTTTAACTCGGTATATATATATATATATATATATATATATATATATATATATATATATATATATATATATATTGTCTGAGAAAACGATTGTATTTCTATATTGCAGGGACTGCGGACATATCTGATTGTGTTGGACGCCATACATAAGTATAACTATAACTATATATATATATATATATATACAGTGTAACCCGGATATAAGAGAGTTGTCGGGACCGGAGAAGAAGTCTCTTATATCCGGGTTTCTCTTATATCCAGGTTTGGTCTATTTTCTATATATTAACACAGGCTCTAATTTGGGACCAGAGAAAATCTCTCTTATATCCGAGATTCTCTTATATCCGGGTCTCTCTTATATCCGGGTTACACTGTATATATTCAAATGACCAGTTTTCGATCGAATAGAAACTTGTGATGAGAAATGGATTATTTAGGAAAATAGCAAACCATCCACTCAATGATTTGATCACAACGAAGGACATCAAACAATTTCCAACACCGAAAATACACCGACAAAAGATTATGGTAAGTATCTGGTGTTCCGTCATTGACGTTATCCATTCCTGCTTTCTGGAATCTAATCAGAGAATCACTGCCAATGTTTGATGCCATCAATTGGAGCAAATGCATATTTAGTTAAGGACTGCTTAATCAAAGAGTACCAATTCTAATTCATGTCAATATCCGGTCATATGTTGCCAGGATGACCCTGCAGAAGATCACCGACTTGAGATAAGAGACTTTGCCAAATCCATCTTATTACGAGCTTTGATTACCACTTTTTCAAGCATCTTGGCATTTTGTTAAGTCAAGAGTCATTCCGTTGTAAAGATGTGAACACTGCCTTTATTACTAATAGGCGGTCAAACCATTAGAGTTTTATCGTAACTCGATGGCAGAAATGTATACATATTTAGTGTTTCTATTCCGACTAATTAAAATACTGTTTAAATACATTATTTCAGGAAGAAAATTTAATTCTGAAATCGGAGATTAATTTTCGAACAACCTACAGGAGCTTCTTCAGCAGAATTACAATGAGACAATATGATAACCAAATGTTTCATTTAGTGCTGAAAAATAGTGCGTTTGATCGCGGATTAATTTCACGAAACATCGCTTCACATACCCAAATATTTTCCAAAATTAAAATTGAAGAAGGAGGATGAGGCAAATTTTCATAATTTAGTCCTATGACGCTTTTGAACAGTTGATTGAGAAGCGTGCAGCCGTGCGTTGTCGTGCAACAAAATTTGATAATCCCTATTCAAAAGTCTGGGATGTTTCTTTTTTCGTGCATACACACTATTTCTCCACAATACGAGGTCGCTGTTATTGTTTTCCCGTGAGGCAAGAATGAGTAATGAATAACCCCTTTGAAAGACCACCATACGATGCAAAAATATTTCTTTTTCCCAGTTTGTAAGTAAAGTAAGTTTGTAAATAAGTAATAAACAGTAGGAGAGATATCAGGTGAATATGGCGGATGAGGCAAATTTTCATAATTAAGGCCTATGCAGATTTTGAACAGTTGATTGAGAAGCGTGCAGCCGTACGTTGTCGTGCTTCAAAATTGGCCCATCCCTATTCACAAATCTTCTTTTTTCATTATTTTGTGCATACCCTCAATTTCTCCACAATACGAAGTTGCTGTTATTGCTTTCCCTTGAGGAAAGAATGAATAATGAATAACTCCTTTGAAAGACCACCATACAGTAACCGTTAACTTTTTTAGAGTGAAGTCGAGGTTTTGGGTATTGTTTTGATGATTCACTTGCATTTAACCGCTGGCCTACTCTCTTACTATTGTCAAAGAGTATCCATTACTCATCGCATGTAATGATTCGATACAAAAATGGTTCTTTTTTTCCCCAGTTTGTACTCATACAATAAAACTACTCGCCATTGTTTCATTGTAATCATTTTTATTGTGCTTACGAGTAACAATATATTTAAAGAAAAATTATCTGGAAAGAAAAAGAGTCAGGAATAAGGCAAGATTTTTTTTTATACTAAGGAGGTTACTTTGTTAGACGACCGGATCAACAACCAACCAAAAAATGCGCCATGTAAGACAACTTAACTATCTACTATCAGAACATTACAAGTTCTACTAGTGCTATGTAACTGATGCATGACTAGGTTAAACTTATTACCCAACTGCGGAGAGATTTTTTTTTATTAAAAAGTCCATAATTCGATGTCTGTCCGGAAAGTATCCGGCTCTTTTGAATATGCCAAGAACCGGTTGTGTAGACTTGATACAGCCGCGCAGACAGAAAGGAAATTAACGCGCATGTAGGAACAGAAATTTTTTTTATTGAATTAAGTTTATTAGGGTTTACTCAAGTAAGATTATGCGCTGTAAAATTGTCGAATTGTTCTTATGAGCTTTCCACTTTGGTACCTAGATTTTATGAGTTTAAGCGTACTACTAGAGTGGCGGATAGGTCTCCTAATTTTACAGTTGAAATAGATGTAACCGTAAGTTCGATGCTAACAGTTTCTTCTATCGCACTTCTCGCTTGTGGAACTCTCTTCAGGCTTCTTACTTCCAAGTCAAATTTAAATTTAAATTGTTTATCTTCTGTCTTCTTAATTCTTTTATTATTCTCTCTCCTTAAAATGCTTTTTTTCTCATATTCTTTCACACTCAGTAACCCCCTTGCGTCTTAGGGGCTTTTTTACCTTTCTTTGAGTGAAATTATTAAAAAAGAATGAAACATTCACGGACTGTATGTATTAATTTTGGAAATCATCAGCGGTAAATGGGTGAATAATTAATGTTTTGCGAGGGAGGTATTTTGTTCCAGGAGCGGAAGACAGATACATCGATAGCGCCGTTTAGAATTTACCGAGCAGTCTGTTTTAAAGCGATCCACGGTCTGGAATGTGTTCAAAAGGAAGGACGCCAGAAAATATCTAGCGCTTAAGGGACGCAATCAAAAAGGAAAATGACAATTAAGAACTCCAGGTAGTCCGGCCAGTTTGAATATCAACACTTTCCGTTCTTCGTCTCCCCTGTTGGGTTTGTTGGCAAATCATCATATCACTTCGGCTTGTTATTCCTTTTTTCCCCCCATTTCAACAATTCAGATTTGTTTCTCGAGACTTCTATATTTTCTTAAAGAAATGTGTGCTCAACTACACAAAATCAGTCCTCCTTTAAGATTGATGAACTGATGAAGACTCTAGAAGCATCAGAGATGTAGATCCACAAAGCGATACTGAGAATTCCGTAGACTAGTCATTCCCAAACGGTTCGCTGCGTCATGTGGGCGGCGGAAGAGGATAGCCGGTGAGGCAGAATGGTTGCTGTTTAATGAGCCAGGAAGAGTGAGAAGATCTGGAATCAACTGTTGGTGCTCAGAATTAGAGAGAACAATCTCAGATCTTCAATTCAGATTCCAGTTTCATCTGCCACACCTGTAGAAGAGAGTGTCATGCAAAGACTGGACTTTTAAGCCACTCTCGACCCTGCTCAATAAAAGAACTGAATGCTTACCAAACAGGGCGCTATCATTATCTCGCAAGATAAATGCTTGTGTATGCTGGACAAATTCCACTGTACGCTGGACAGTTTCCTTACAGGTGAAGAAGAGAGTTGAAACGACAGAAACATGGTTTTTCATGAGGATGATGTAAATATCATGGTTAGAATATATGTCAGCTTGAAGAATATCTTAAGATACAACTTTCGAATTGTTGACGTCAAAATGAAAAAGTACAGGAATTTAACCCTCTGCGAATTGTTATAAGAGACAATGCAAAAATGTGGCATAGAAATTCGAAGTGAAACAAGTTATTAAGAAACAAAGATCTGCCTCATATCAATTCTCTTCTCTTGCAGGGAATGGCGGACATTCTGAAGAAAAGGGATTTGAGGTAATAGAGACGCCGTTCTACAGAAGGATATCATGATGAAAATATCTGGGCAACAAGGAATTTTTAAGGAAAATAGGAACCGAAAGAAAACCAATATCAGAAAGCAGTTGAAATATCTGGGAGGATAGGCGACTTGGAGAATCCGATGCTCACAAAACATATTTAAGGCAAAATGGACTGAGTGAAGCACTGAGTAACATAGCTAACCAGCTTGTGTAAATGGATCGCAGTACATGAACAATGAGGAATGGTAAGGGGTCCGACATTGCTTGGAACTGAGAGGAAATTGTGGAGAGCCATGACTTAGTAAAATTACCATTACATTTAGAAAATGTTTACTGATCTGATGGTGAAAAAGATTTATAAAATATAAATTATAAAAATTGTTGGAAAACTTTTTTTTTTTAATTTTTCAAAGGATGCTGGACAATTTCCTTACAGAGACTTGAGGCAAATGAGATATGGTTCTACAGAAGGATGCTGAGAATTCCATGGATTGAACATGTGAGTAATGATGAAGTTGAAAAACAAAAAACAGAATGTTGCTAGCAACTGAAATGTAGAGAAATGCTATTTTCATGAAAATAATTCTGTTTTTTGTTTTTATTAGTTACCTTGTTCAATTAAATTCATTTCGTATTTTGCTTTGATAAAGACCACATTGGGTGAAACGGGTCACCAATTACGAGTTTTCCTATTGTCATTTTTACACACACACACACACACACATATATATATATATATAATGTTTTTTTTAATACTAAGTGGTTATGAAAAAGAATTTTGTCGACTTTAAATGGGAAACATAAAAATGTGAAAATATTAGAAAAAGTTCACAATGAATTAAAACAGGGGTTCCCCCAACATTTTAGCGGCCTTCATGAAATGTTGGCATTCTCATCTATCCCCAGATACATGTAGTGCATACATTCCTTGACCCTTTAAATTCATTATTGCTTCTCGATATGATACATTTTAGCTTTACGTTGTGTCATTCGTTTTTCACTTCTTACCTCTTTGCCTATCTGTTATGGAGTGGTTTCACAGTGGAGGCTTGTATTTCACTAAGTCGGTCCTAAAATAGGTTCGACGTACAAAACGTTAGCAACCTGATTGAGAAATCTAGTTGTGGTCGCTGATACTTTAATATCCGACTAACGGTCGTCCAACATCGACTGACTGACCAACTCACTGAGCGACTGCTACCCCTCGTTACTATTACTACTCCTACTTATTATAGGTGAGAGAGTCTATTAACTATAAAATAGGTGTGTTCCACTATAAGACTATCCTCGATGTGTTTGTTCGAATGGTAACCATAACAAGTTGGACCCGCAAAAATTTCTTCCATTTTGGTTTTCTGACGAATCTTAATTCTTAAAGTTAATCATCGATTAAAGTCCTAGCGAGTTCGATGAAAAAAATACCTGAGAATATGACACTATTACATAGTTAAATATGTGAAAAAAATTAACAAAATATTGCAATAAAAATCCTAAGTATGAAGGCAGGGTAAAAGAAGTAAGAGGGTACAAATAAAAAGATTTAAAATTGACAAAATATTGCAATAACAATGATAACTAAGAATGCATGTCATTATTTGATATGTCCCTGAAAAGGATATATTTGTTCAAAGTAGCAAAGTAGTTTTGGGCTATTGTAACCGGGTAGGGCAATCTAGCAAGTAACCGGGATGGACTGGTCCTCGTCGTAGTGATAGGCAATAGACGTAGTCAATAGGCGTAGTCCATGTACCGCCACACCAGTCTGTATTTATGGCTGATACCAGCCAATCATATTACTGTGAGGGAGAACCCAGGTGTATGCATATTCATTACATCATTATTTAAAGAATTATAAATGAAAATATTTCTAATTCACCAAGGCAGACGTTAAACACGTAGCATTAGTACCTATTACAATCAAATGCGTGACAGAATGGGTATGGTTTGCCTATAAGTCAATGTCCGCAGGCTGTCAATTTAGATATGGAGGGGGGCATCAGAGATTGATCATCTCTGATGGGGTGACCTTGTGAGGGGAGTATGATGTTTGAAAACCCGAAACTGCCCAATGACCCAATTCAGAATGTCACTGACGACGCCCTCTAGCGCTAAAGAGCGTATTATTCAAAGTAAAGTCTCTTTCGTTCTTTCTTTCTTTCTTTTTTTCTATCTTCCACTAAAACCAAACGACGCATATGGCATATCTTTCTTCTGTACGCTCGCAGTTGATCAGGAATGAACTTTTATCGATTTGAGGCAATAGTAGAGTGTAACTTACAGACTTTGTGGTATTATGGCGGCTGTAGTAAGAATGGTAAAAATTGGTGATTATTGCTGTTACATTTGGTCTTCTGCTTCTGCTATATATTTAGAAATTCTTAAAATCCAATGAAGAATCTGCAATGTTTTTGGTTCTAACCTGGCATCTCGGCTTTGGTCAATTTCCCACCACCGTAACATAGCTTCCCAGTAACTTCTCTATGAATACTTTCATGGTAGATTTTCTGATCTACTTTCCTGTCTGTATTCAAATAAATAGCAGTCGGGGTTTCTTTTATATTCCCCACCCCTAGACAAATTATATATATGGGGGCGAGTGAGGATTTTATAGAGACTCATCGGTATTATGGTGACTGTAGTAAGAATGGTAACAATTGGTGATTATTGCTGTTACATTTGGTCTTCTGCTTTTGCTATATATTTAGAAATTCTTAATAAAATCAAATGAAGAATCTGCAATATTTTTGGTTCTACCCTGGCATCTCGGCTTCAGTCATTTTCCCGCGCTAAAGAGCGTATATTCAAAGTAAAGTCTCTTTCTTTCTTTCTTTCTTTCTTTCTTTCTTTCTTTCACAAAACCAAACGACGCATATGACATATCTTTCTTCTGTACCCTCGCAGTTGATCAGGAATGAACTTTAATCGATCTGAATTAATAGTAGAATTGAAACAAACCTAATAATTCCTTTATTATTTACACTTTTTCATATTTTTCCAATGAAACATGACCCAGTGCACATGTAAGTACTTCGTATGTCTTTTCCTTGCAGGTTGGACATATTCTCGACTGGATTTAAATCAGGATAGTTTTCGAGCCGGTCGCTCGTACTTTGATTTGCTCATTGGTAAGACTTGCTATTGTATTCGTACAGCGTTACAATTTTTCGATCGCACATTATAGCGGACCACCCTCATTCCGTTCGTATTCCCCTGGTGAGATGTAAGTTCCATTCGAGCAGCTTCTTTCAACGAACCACTGCCTTGCGAAACCGACTCTCAAGAGTCTGTTTCCTCGATCACTGTAATCTTAACCTGTTCACGCCTCGTGTTAACCGTTATCTTCCATGCATATCCATCTAAAGGTGTGCCTCTTACACTTTAACCCGGTAAATCGAGTCACCCACAGGCCTTGTACAGGGTGAACACCACTGTAAAAAATGGGTCTTTGTGAGTCGGAGCTAACTAAATACCGTTACATATAGACTTTTTTTTTTTAAATTATTTTATTTTGTTTTCTCTTTTTATTCTTCTCCTGATCATTTCGTTCAGTCGTGTCTATAAATACGTCTTTTGAGTCTAAGCTTTTCTCTTCTTCTTCGCTCACCCGGAATAATCATTTTGTCATTCGCTCTATTCCCTATTTAACTTTCAATTTTTCCCTCTCCCTCACAACTGCTCCCCTTGGCCTGCGTTTTTTTTTTACCCTGCTCTTTTCCCGCCACCCTCATAACACTCTTTTACCTTCGTTGTCGGTCCGATCGCCTGCTGTGTCTGACTGATTATTTATGAGCGAAAAAAAAATTCAGCAAAGAATGAAGCTATCAAGCCACTCATAAAACAAACACAAATGCAAAAAAAAAAAAAAAAAAATATGACAATAGGGAGAAATATTCTCTCTCTCTTTTTCTTACTTTCTCTCGCAAACACACACTTGAATGAATATATATATATATATATATATATATATATATATATATATATATATATATATATATATATATATATTTTTTTTGTGTACGTAATAAAAAAGAAGGAATGAAGGCGAAAAGACAAGATATGATTTCTCGACACGGACCAGCCCGACCCAGACCGGCCCTATTCACAACCGACAAGACTTTCTTATTTGCTTCCGTTTAACGTAGTTGAAAAGATTCTTAACAAATTCAGCAAGTCTCTGATAATCATTTTCTCTGAAGAATTTCACTTTCGCATTTTCAGACCAGAATTAATCGGTAGGTTTATATGCGTGCTCCTGGTGGTCTTGTTGTATATTCAAATATTCCTTGATAAAATCTAAAGAAGAATCTGCAATCTCATCAGTCCTTACCTGGCATCTCGACTTCGGTCACTTTCCCACCATCATAACATAGTTTCCCAGTAACTTTTCTATGAATACTTTTATGGTAATTGTTCTGATATACTATCCTGTTTGTATTCAAATAAATAGCAGTTGGGGTTTCTTTTTATTCCCCACCCCTAGACAAATTGTATATATGGGGACGAGTGAGGATTTTATAGAGACTCCGCGGTATTATGGTGACTGTAGTAAGAATGGTAAAAATTGGTGATTATTGCTGTTACATTTGGTTTTATTCTTCTGCTATGTATTTAGAAATTCTTAATAAAATCCAATGAAGAATTTGCAATATTTTTGGTTCTAACCTAGCATCTCGGCTTCAGTCACTTTCCCGCCTCCATAAATTAGCTTCCCTGTGCTTTTTCTATAAATTCTTTTATTGTAATTGTTCTGGTGATCTTTCTTCTCTGGTACCAAATCTTTATGAATTTAAGCGCAGTACTTGATTGGCAGTTAGGTTTCATTATTTTACAGTATAAATTCCTAGATGTAACCGTAAGTTTTAAGATAAGACAGATTTTTTTTTAAACATGGTAATTCCTGTATAGAGAAGAAACCATATTCTAAATCAATTATATATATATATATATATATATATATATATATATATATATATATATATATATATGATTGCGTTTAGCATGAAACAGACAGTCTACTTTTTATATTTACGTAACCTCTATTCCTAATATTGAGCAATTTAAGCTATAAATATAACATACCTTAAAACTATAATTTACTATATATATATATATGTGTGTGTGTGTGTGATAAAAAGGCTGAAACGCTAATATTCCATGGCTATAATTTATTACATTAGAATCGTAATCACAATCCAATTCATCAGACCTACAAATTCAAAATTATTTGAGCGTTTTTATTATATTCTTACTCTGTCTTGCCATCGAGTTCTACCTGGATTCTATCCTTTTTATAATCGATATATATATATATATATATATATATATATATATATATATATATATATATATATATATAATATATATATATAATATCAATATATATTATCACGTGACTTCTATTCCAATCTCTTTTGTCACGTGACAAATCTACCATTCGACCTTGCATTAAATACTGTTGTCATATCTGGTTCGGTGTTGCTGCTATTAATCTCGTGATTTTTGACAAAATCCAAAGAAGGATCTGCAATGTAATCGATCCTGACTTAACATCTCGACTTCAGTCACTTTCTCACAGACGTGATACGGCTTCGTTCTGTCTTTTCATGGCAACTGCTAAGACGAGCTTTTTTCCCTGGTGCCCTGACTACATGAATTCAAGACCTGATACAAGATTGGCATTTAGGTCCCAACCTTTACCGCTGAAATAATTAAATGTAAACGTCACTTCTATTCCAACAGTTTCTTTTCTTGCTTTTCCCGACGGTGGAAATCATTTCTGTTTACTTGCTTTCCTGATAACTACAATCTTTAAATACAATGTCAGTCACCACCGTTCTGTCTTCTTGAATTTACTTCCTCTTAACTTCTTTGATTGTATCTCCTTTCTTCCCGCCTAATCTTAAAGCTTTAAATACTTCTTGTCACACTTGCATCACTTATTGTACTAGATTTAATGCGTGCTGAAAAATGTCAGCGTATTTAGTATTGTTGAAGTTATCGCTAACATTTTTTGTCGTGATTTACAAACTCTGCGTTTCGTTTCATAATAAACTTTTAATTATGTAAAAAAAAAAACAATGAATGGATATTTATTTTACTAAGCTACTTTTTACCTCCTTAACTGTTTGCAATTCTCCCCCAAATTTAGTTTCGATCGGTCAATATACGGCTAATTTACATGGATGCGTGTAACAGACTTCACAAGATTTGGCGCTGGAACCTTCCGTCCTCCTTAAAAGTGCAAACCTTTCGACCATTGACTGAACAAGTCCTACTGTATGGATCAGCAACTTGGACATTATCTGTCCGTCTTGACAGAAAGACTGAATGGAACATATACAAATCTACAAATCCAGAACAGCAACTGGAGATCCTATGCAACGCTTAACACAATTTAAGGAGAACTGCGACCAATCTCTTTTAAGCTAAAAACAAAAACGTTTACAGTTTTCCGGCCACTGCCAACGAGCAGACAGAGAAATCGTCTCATCCTTACTCCTATGGCATCCTTCTGGAAGTGTCTTTATACGAAAATTGACTTTTCCACACACCAGAGCTCGGGACACAGGATTTATGGATCTGGAGACAGGAATGCTGGATCGAACAGTGCGAAAAAGGGTTGTCAATGGAGTTCCGATCAACCATAAGGAAGTCGAATGATGATGATGATGAGAGCTTTGAAATCTTGTATGCATTAATTTCAACTCTTCTTATTAATAACTGTATTGTTTCTTCCCACGTACAAGAATGGGCTGAAAAGTTCATAGGCTGACAATGAAGGGTTGATGCTTGAGCTGTGAAATCTTGCATGCGTTAACTTCAACTCTTATTAATAACCGAATTGTTTCTTTCCAGATACGGGGGAGGGATGAAAAGTTCATAGGTTGACTATAAAGGAGTGATGCTAGAACTGTGAAATCTTGCATGTATTAATTTCAACTCCTTTTATTAATAACTGCATTGTTTCTTTTCAGGTACGAGGGTGGACTGAAAAGTTCATAGACTGACGATAAAGAGGTGATGCTAGAACTGTGAAATCTTGCATTCATTTCAACTCTTCTTATTAATAACAGCGTTGTTTCTTTTCAGGTACAATGGTGGGCTGAAAGGTTCATAGGCTATTAATTATTTTGGCTCCTAAACAGAAAATAACTGCATTGGAGTGATGCTAGAACTGTGAAATCTTGCATGTATTCATTTCAACTCTTCTTATTAACAACTGCATTTTTTCTTTCCATGTAAACTGACATCTAACGGTTCAAAGAAGACATCGAATGTAACCTGTAATGACTTCTCTTGAAAATGAACAAAATTTGGTAGTGTGGTGTTATCAAGTGCCTACAGAAAAAGGGTTTAGCCCCCAAGAACTTTCATGCTGACGTGATTGCTACATAAGGTGATGTCAATGCGGCTTTATCAACAGTGTAAAAATAGGCAGCTACATTTAGGTAAGGAATGGAGAGTCTTGAAGATGACCGTAGTTCTGAAAGTCCTGCGACTGCCACCACCAAGGAAAACATTGATCGTGTTGAACACATTGTTATGGATGACAGGCAATTGACTATAAATCAAATAGCCAGTTATTAGCAGATCCCCTGAGAGATTTGAGAAGATTCTGTGTTTGGCTCATTACTTTGAGCCATAGAAATAGCGACAATATTTTAGCAGTGAGAGGCATTGAGAACATTCTTTTAAATGATTTTTTTGATGAGGAAAATGTTCTGGTCGGTGGGTTTACGGCTTGATACCTGATGAAAAGCGCACCAGGCTGATCCCAACACTAGAAAATCTGACATTGTTTGAAGGAGATTCAGCTAGTTTCTTTGAACGTCTCTTAACCCAGGATGAATGTTGGGTTCATTACTTTGAGCCATAGAAATAGCGACAATACAGGCAGTGAGAGATTTGAGAACATTCTGCACAATGAATAGCCTAGCAGTGAAGAAACAAATGTATAACTCAGATGGAAAACCTTGGGAATTTTACTAAGAGCTCTTCTGAGTTTTGACTTCAGAGTTTAACTTCTCCTTGGTTGGGTACCAACTATGCTCAGGGGTCCCAGTCTACATTAATATTTAACGCGTATCTAGGAAAAAAAAGAGAAAGAAAACAGAAACGAAATTGAACACGGGTTGTCCTGTTCCTACCACTACGCAACTATTATTGGAACTCCCTTCTCCTCACTTGCTTCCCTGATAATTACAATCTTCAAAAAATTTAATGTAATGTCAATCGCTATCTTCTGTTGCCTTCCACCCTGTCCTTTTTTCCTTTCCTGAATCCCCCAGACACTCTTTTCTCTCACTTTCACCCTCCGTAGTCATCTGTGTAGTAGTGGCACTCCTGTCCTGCTTAGGGTGAAATGCTTAAAAAAAAAGTCTACTTCTTTGAGAACAATTAAGCTGATCAAAAAACAGATTTGCTTGTTTATTTATTTATTCCTGTCACCATGAAACTGGACAGCGGTAACGGGTGCATCAGGATTGCAAAAGGCATATATGTCTAGCCATACTGATGAGCTGTAAAACAGCGAAAAAGTCTGTCTGTGGATAACAATATATACATGCTCCTGAAAAAAAAATATTTCGGTTGAGTTCTCGGGGATAAAAGGGAACTTGTAAACAGTACCTATTACTACTGCTGATGCAAGACTCTTCGTTAAGACGAGTCGAGTTCTTCAGTCACTTGGCCTGTTTATGTAAAAATAAATACGTCTAAATTTGAATTAATCCCTGCCGTGTGCCAATGGCTTAGGCGTAGATGCCAAATCAGTCGGGTT